TGAGTGAGGTTACAGGAGGCCCAATTACCTCTCTCCCAATCTCCGAATTCCCAATAATCATCAATTTCCTTATCCCCAAAAAGCCAGTAACGCACTTGTAACACCTCTGGTGTTTCGGATGTCCACAGGCAGCGCCGATTGCTTACCATCAGGTGATCCGTCTCGATTACCGGCTTATTCCATAAAAAATCTCCTACCAGAGGTCAACATCCACTTTAGGTCGCTGAGCCAACGGAAAAAGAAAGTCACTATAAGTACCTACGCTTTGCTGTGTACCTACATGTGCTTATAACGTTTGAAACGTCGATAAATCATTAGTCAATTGTCCCTATGGATTATTCAGACGTTGATTGGCCTCATAACTCCGGAGCTAGTTTGGTGAACCAGTTGTACTGACGTATGGGTAAATAAATAATTGAATTCGTTACATAGTTTACTTTGGAAGTATATGGGCAGTAGGAAATGTGATATTGTTGATGTACTGTGTTTTGGACGTCAAGGACTTACATTTAAAAGTTATTTTTATGTGAATTACAAAAGAGTAGATATAACTTAGGCTCACAAAGTCTTAACAGACAGGATGCCGGGGCGCCGGCTTGAAGTGCAGGAGTAAAAACGGGGTGGTTTAAAAGCAGATGGCGGGACGAACTGGACATTATGACAAAGATTGGTCGCAAAACGCCTTACATAGAGAGGAGTGGAAGGAGGGAAGGGAGAATGAGGGGTTTTTGGCCGGCAACCCGCGTACTCCGCAGCTCCGTATCGGCATCAGCCCTATTGGGCCCCATCCGTGGTTTGATGGCTTTTTATTTAAGGCGCACGCAGTACGCAACTCTCTGTACACTCGTGTCTGGCTCGGTCGGGCAACGAGTTACCCGTGCTCGCCGTCCACAGGCCCGTGCTTACGGTGGCCGGAGATCGTCTTGCCAAACTAACCCACTACGCTAGAGATATTATAGTGCACAAGTATGTGCGCAAACACAGGTGCACCCTCTGTTCCGAACGATGTCGATGACGACAGACTATCACGACTGGAGAGAGAACAACAGTAACACGTGGACAACGAGGAAAGAAACACCACCGAATTTCCTAACTCCTGGCTAATAATGGTCATTGTACTCAGAAAATGCCATTATCACATTTCGCCCGACGCAGGAATCGAACCCGACCAAGCCACTACACCAACCGTGCACCTTGTAGTTAGGTAATAGATACCTAATATTTGGTTATTCATGTCTCATCCCTACCTTTCAGGGACGTCCGTAACTAGGTACCTCCCTAATCGTATAGATAACAAACGAAATTCGATCACTTTCGAACTTGAATCAATTTGGACATCCCTTATCTTACTTAACCGTTTTAAGGCGTTTGCAGCGACATCTTATATCTTATAGCTGTTGCCCGCGATTTCGTCCTCGTAGAATATGATTACAGTTTTATCCCATTTTTTAAAGGGTGCAATATCGTCGAATGATTTCTCCCGCTTGGGTGAAGCGGGAGGGAATGTCAGACTCTTACTGACTAAAGACCATCCCGTTCCTACTCCTGCACTTCGAGCCGGAGCCCCGGTAACCCGTTAAGTTCTCCGCGGCTTAGCTCTGTATTGGCATCAACCCTATTGGGCCCAATCCGTGGTGGTCTGATGGCCATTTGAGGCGCGCGCGGAACGCGACGCGCCGAAGGCTATTTTATCACATGAGAGCATTTAATCGGGATAACCAAAAATGAGATCTATGAACATAACAGAACATCACGCCTTTTTATCCCCGAAGGAGTAGGCAGAGGTTCACATTACGGCACTTAATGCCATTGTACAATAATGTAATACCTACCCACAATATACTATTTATGTTATGAGTCCCATGTAATAGAGAGTGAGCCTATTGCCATATACCAGGCATAATTCCAGACTCCGAAAAAGCTATTTTTAAAAACTCAGTAATACTTTGCCGGACCCGGGAATCGAACCCGAGACCCCTTGCCCGGCAGTCGCACTTGCGACGACTCGGCCAATGAGGCAGTCATCTATGAATTTTGTACGAAATACTGTATTGTGATGTCACGTTTTTTAGCGTCAAACAGCATACATAGGTAACGGTAAAATGGGGTGGATAGGGATCGAGAGGTGAATAGGGACAGAAGAGAGGTGAATCGATACTATGAACAATTTCCCAATATCTATTCACCCCTCTTCTGTCTCTATTCACCTCTCGATCCCTATCCACCCCATTTTACGGTACCTATTTCTTAAAAAAATGCTGGAATATATCAATATCTTCATCAGGGGTGGTATATTAAAGACGATGAGAGAAGAAATGAGAAAAATCACCCTAGGAGACGCCTTGTCGCACGAAATTGCATCGCAGCAATTCGCATCGTCAATTTTTGCGTTGCGCATTCGCATCGCATCGTAGTTTAGTATACGAGCCCTTAAAACGAGGTAAGAAAACCACAATACATTTCAAAAACCTATTTATTCCTTTAACAAAATATAAGAAATATATTACAATTTACAATCTACACAATATATTAACATTCGATTGAAATATCTGTAAGACTATACCTTAATACCTTATATTAATGTACATAATAACAATTATTTGTACGTAAGTAATTATCAAATCACAACTTTTAATATCTGAAAAAGTTTATTAATATCATTTGGGTAGATGACATTTTAAATGGTAATCTCTAATGCCTCTGCCAAGCGTGGAGATTATAGCAAACAATCACAAATGTGGCAAAACATAAAAGGTGTTGTTTGAAAGCCCCGTCATTTTCTAGTAGGTAATTTGGCTATCGATTCTGAGTCCGAATCAATAAAAATTGTAGGTAAATATTTTTCATTTTTCTGTAAATTACGGAAATCCGTAAGTGCGAAGGACACGCCGCCGTCTTGTAACTAGCTTTATAACGCGGCTTAACACACACAAACTCAAACACGTAATTGATATTATTCCTAATTCCATAAAACTCCAATAAGAAACATTGCTGTCACTTATGCTGAAATACTGTCGAACTTAAACGATTTATTATAGCCGTATTTTGAACTATTAGCCCGAAACTTTCTCTTACATTGAACCTTTATGACTTCTGTGACATGCCCCCGAGAAATGTCACGGTTTCAAAACTACACCTTGTATATTATCCACTTTCGTTCGCAGTCGTTTAGGAGTTAAGCGCGTCCATACATTTTAGCTATCCATTTGTAACTTTAACTAGCGACCCGCCCCGGCTTCGCACGGGTGCAATGCTTATGTAAATATACCTACTACAGAATGTCCTTAGACACAACGTTCACAGCTTTTTTGTCATCATGTATTATACATATAAAACATCCTTAAGAATCACTCTATCTATACAAAACAACGCATCAAAATCCGTTGCATAGTTTTAAAGATCTAAGCATACATAGGGACAGACAGACGGCGGATAGCGACTTTGTTTTATACTATGTAGCGAAGAAGGAGGCTCCTCATTTTGACCGTATAATATTTCCAGCGGTTACTCCAATCTATACTAATATTATAAAGCTGAAGAGTTTGTTTTTTTGTTTGTTCGTTTGAACGCGGTAATCTCCGAAACTCCGGGTCCGATTTGAAAAAATCTTTCTGTGTTGGATAACCCATTTATCGAGGAAGGCTATAGGCTATAAAATATCACGCTACGATTAATAGGCGCCGAGCAGAGCGAGTGAAACCGCGCGGAAGTAGCTAGTGTTATATATTCCGCCTATTCCAGGTCATAATCTACCAGTGTCCCAAATTTCATCCCGATCACTTCAGCTATTGTCGTGAAGGATACATCCCAATCCCGCATCTCATGCATGAGGGTGCGGGCGTAACCTACCAACGGCAAGTACTAATGTGACTTTTTCAGAGTTATATGTACTTTCTAAGATTATTTAAACACCACTGACAAACGGTGAAGGAAACAATCGTGAAGAAACCTTGGCTTAAAATTTGTAATTATAAGTTTGTAATCGCCAACCCGCATTAATGCTCAAACCTTCTCCGTGTGAAAAGAGGCCTTTAGTCAGCAGTGGACACTTATAGGCTGTTAATGAGATATAATCCTTACTAATATTATAAATCCGAAAGTGAGTTTGTTTGTTTGTTCCGCTTTCACACCGTAACTACTAAACCGATTGCTTTGAATTTTTGCAGACGTAAAGTTAGAAGTCTGGATTAAATAATAGGGCACTTTTTATCCCTGAAAATTTTGATATTCCCGAGGAAAACAAAAGTATTGGTATAGATGGCGCTGTGTGTATCGGTATGTCATATAGGCTACTTTTTATCCTTTTGTGACGCGAGCGAAGCCGCGGGTAAAAGCTAGTACAAAATAACTGCGAATTGTATGAGTACAATATAGACACAAACATACGGACATATTCCAGTGATTCCATATTCTTTCGACTACGCAATTGGGTAGTTTCCAGGGTCTCAAAATTAAAAATGAAATTAATCCGTCAAGTAGATGATGACAAAATATTAGACACGTATTTTTTTATTTACTCGTATAAAGTTACAATACTTAGATAAAATGGCGTTAAGTTTAGGAGTGGGAGGTAGTTACGTCACAACGTGGTACATTGTGTAGCCGGCTGTGACGTCACGCGACATTTCAAATCAATATATCGTCAAAAGCATTTGATTAAAAATACGTGTCTATAGTTTTAAATTAATCTACCAGACGGATATTAAAATAAAATTTAGGAAACTATCCTATTATTTGAAAATTGTGTACAAATTTTTAACTTGACATTAAATATATTATTTCTGTTTTATATATTACTGAGATATAGTAAATGAATAATGTTGTATGGCTTACTCACGTAACTATTCGACTAGGAAGCTCAACTACTTTCAAGCTGAGAATTGGCGCTGCGAATCTCAGATTATGGGCCCGCGTGTAGCTCGAAATTAGTCGAGTTTCTCAGTTAAACAGATTATACAACAAAATTGATTTTTATATTATTTTTTATACAATTTTTACACTTATCTGCTTAAACTCTCTTGTGAATACATTTTTTTAAATTCTTCTCTTAAAAATGAGGCTTCTGATGTCATTTCTTCTCTCGTCCTTGGTGGTTTTGATGGATGGCCGGCTTTGAACCTAAAGTGAATAGAGATAAGGTTTAAAATCCATTAGTTACTTTAAATATTGCTGAACTGTTGACTAATTTTTTGACTAATAGGATAGTTACCAGGGAATGAAAATTAAAAATCTAATTAGTCCGTCAGTTAGATAATGACAAAATATTAGACACGTATTTTTTTTTGTTCATATAAAGTTACAATACTTAGATAAAATGGAGTTAAGTTTAGGAGTGGGAGGTCGTTACGTCACTAAGTTCTACAAAATGTATCGTTACGTCACACGATATTTCAAATCAATATAATATCGTCGAAAGTATTTAATTTTGTGAGAAAAGAAAAAATACATGTCTAATGTTTTAAATTAATCTACCAGAGGGATATTAAAAAAATGTAGGCAACTATCCTATTAGCCTTTTTCCTGGGAAGATTAAAAAAAAATCCGCTAGGGGCAGCACCGGTGGGGGGGTACATTATGTTTTGAATTCTCTATTGACAACAACGTCAAACGTACGTCTTATTATTATCAGAATAAATAAATATTGTGATAAAATTTTTTTTTTTAAAAATAGTCATGCCTACAAAACTTTGCGCATTCGCAAATTGTACGTCTGATAGTCGGAACATTTTTATTACCTGATACGGTTAAGCCACGACATCCAAGCCATCGTTTCAAGTCCCGGACAAGATTATCTTGCACTTTTGCAAGCAGGTACATCATCTTCAGTTAATTCCATTTTAATTCTACACGTTTGACGTTGTTGTCAATAGAGAATTCAAAACATATGTACCCCCCACCGGTGCTGCCCCTAGCGGATTTTTTTTAATCTTCCCAGGAAAAAGGCTAATTATAGTGTAGTCTTATGTAGTAAGAGTTTTAGAGAGGCTATTGTCATAAACGGGTTAATGGACGCAATAGGGTAGATGACCAATTTTTATTCTAATGTCCGTGTGATAGATCATTTAAAAACATTAGACACATATTTCTTAATTTTCTTACAAAACCAAATACTTTCGACGATATATTGATTTGTAATATCGCGTGACGTCACTTTTGTGTACGTTTTATACTATAAATGACGTAGCTAGCTCTCACTCCTAAACTTTGATTCGTTTTATCTAAGTATTGTAACCTTACATATACGACAAAATAAAAATACAGTCAAATTGAGAACCTCCTCCTTTTTTTTGAAGTCGGTTGAAAAATACGTGTCTAATATTTTTTCATTACCTAACTGACGGACTAAATAGATTTTTAATTTCCAAACCCTGTTATCATCCCTATTGTAGCAAGCAATCTGCAATACAGCTATAGAGATCGAGTTTGAAAACTCCGTGCTACAACGACAATTTTCCAGAAACCCAAAAAGCTCCCCAATAATACTCTGTAGACCGGAAATCGAACCCGAGACCCCTTGTTCGGCAGTCGCACTAGCAACCTTTCAAATAATGAGCAACGAGATGTAAAAGAAATTGATAGATAACGAGGTAAGTAGAGTTAATATTAACGTCTTTAAAATCCTCAAATTCCTAATCCCCAAAAGGCCGGGAATGCACTTATAACGCCTCTAGTATTCCAGGTGTCCATGGGCGACGCCGATTGCTTACCATCAGGTGATCCGTCTGCTCGGATTATTGCATAAAAAAACTTACTGATCATGTTTAGCTAGTTCCAAGTAGATTAAATCGTTCTCTATGAAGTCTCCTTTCTTCCGCGGCATTATATGGCAGTGGAGATGCTGGAACAATATAGCATAGCTTTAAACCACTGAAAGCCTAATGGTGTAAGTAGAGTAATATATACAATGTAACTTTAAATTTTTATCGACTTCACATTAACAGCCTATAATGCCCACAGCTGAGCAAAGCCTTTTCTCCCACGAGAAGGTTTGAGCATTAATCACCACGCTTACTCAATGGGGGTTGGCGATTTCAAACTTATAATTAGACATTATAAGCTTAGGTTTCCTCACGATGTTTTTCCTTCACCGTTTGTCAATGGTGTCTAAATAATCTTAGAAAGTACATATAACTCGGATAAAATCACATTGGATCTTGCAGTGGGTTATCGACTTAAAAAAAAAATCTTTTATAAACCACACCTAAAAGAACCGACTTCAACCCCTTCTTTTTTGTAGTCAGTTAATTAATGTACTTAAAACCTTCTCCTAAGTGTAACAAACACTTTCTAAACCACATCAATCTCGGTTAAGCCAATAGCGAGATAATATATGTAGTTAAAAAACTAAATGTACATCTTTATATATATATATAATTCTTCTGTGAGTGTGTATGTCACTGAACTTCTTTCAAAAGACTGGACCGATTTTGACGAATTTTTTTGTGTGTGTTCAAGGGGATCCGGGAATGGTTTAGATTCACAAATCACCCCGGCAGATGGCGCTGCAGTCGATGTTTAGGTTATTCATCCTATACAGCTGAACTAATTTTAATGCATTTTTGTTTATACATTCAAGTGGATATGCAGAACAACGTCTGTTGGGTCCGCTAGTATTATGTAAAATTACCTTGACAGTTTGTCCGGCATTCATTCCATCTTGTATGGTCACCGTGCACGAGTCCGCCTCATGCACTTTTTCCATTAACTGTGAAAAAAAATCATAATGAAATTCCCATCATGTTATTTTTTAAACATAACATAACATCACGCCTTTTATTCCCGACGGAGAAGTCTAAGGTGCACATTATGCCACTGTAAAATGTAACACCCACTTTTTACTATTAATGTTATGAGTCCCATGTAATAGGGCGTGAGCCTATTGCCATATACCGGGCACAATTCCAGGCTCCATGCTACTACTGAGAATTTTTTTTTAAACTCACTAATTTTTTGCCGGACCCGGCAATCAAACCTGAGACCCCTTGCCCGGCAGTAGCACTTGCGACCACTCGGCCAACGAGGCGGTCAGCCTCGAGGCAACGAGCCAGCAGCCGCGGTTTTATTATATACATATATATTTATTATATATATATATAAGTTTTATTATAAATATAGATATAGATATAGATGAATTTAGACTCACCCGTTGTACAATTCTAATAGTCTTGTAGAAGTCCTGTGCCTCCTCCTCCGTCATATCGCAGTTCCTCTCAGCCATTCTGATTGGAGCCACTAAGACATGGCCGGGGAGCACACATCTAAAACATGTAAAATTATACTTATCACCTTAAGCCTATAAGTGCCCACTGATAGATAAAGGCCTCTTCTCACACGGAGAAGGAATGAACATTAATCACTACGGTTAATTATTATGTTTTCGGCTTACTCACGTAATAGTCAGTAGTCGCCGCGTCGCGGGTCGCGAAATGCTGCTCATGAATATGAGCCTCCAGCATGGCTTGAAACTAGTCGAGTACCTCGTCAAATTATTACGTGAGTAAGCCGAAAACATAATAATTTATTTAGTATGTCTCACGAAAGTTACAATACAATCACTACGGTTGTTTAAGGTGGATAATTAGTGGCTTTGCATAAAAAAGTGTAGGGTTTCGAGGAGTAAAAATGCGTTTTTTTTATGGAATAAGCCTGTAAACCAGTAGAACCATGCATCGGAACGAATGGGCCGGTTCGAACGGATTGATACCACGGCCTCACAGACGGCCGTATGAGTGAGGTTACCGGAGGCCCGATTATTCCCCCCTCCCCCTTTCCCCAATCCACGAAATCCCAACGATCCTCAAACTCCTAATCCCCAAAAAGCCGGTAACGCACTTGTAACGCCTCTGGTGTTCCAGGTGTCCATGGGCGACGCAGATTGCTTACCATCAGGTGATCCGTCTGCTCGTTTAGCGGCTTATACCATACAAAAAGAAATATTAAGTTTTTTTAAATAAAAATCGCCTCCTCCTCTGGTAACCTCACTCACACGACGAAACACCACGCAACGTTGTTTCACGTCGGTTTTCTGTGAGGCCGTGGTATCACTCCGGTCGAGCCGGCCCATTCGTGCCGAAGCATGGCTCTCCCACACTTTAAATGTTTTAAAATGTACTCACCTCAAATTAACAAAAGCATAAGTCAGCTTAGATTTAAAGAAAACACAGCTTTCCGGCACTTTAACATGTCCGAAGTCATAACATGGTTCGTCAGGTAGTGCTGCAATTTGTGGTGATGAAGACGTCGAGGGGGGAGGGGCTGGGCAGTGGGAGGGGAGGAGGTCCTTACGGAGACTTAACGAGTATAGGGAGTATACTTTTGGTCTGAAAAAGAGAGATAAAAGACGTTGATATTAATGAAAAAACATGATAAAATGTGAAACATACATAACATCACGCATTGCATCCCCGAAGGGGTAGGCAGAGGTGCACATTATGGCACTTAATGCAACTGTACCATGTAACACCCATTTTTCATTATTTTATGTTATGAGTCCCATGTAATAGGGGGTAAGCCTATTGCCATATACCGGGCTCAATCCAGACTCCGTGTTACCACTGAGAATTTTTTAAAAACCCAGTAATACTTTGCTCGACTCGGGAATCGAACCCGAGACCCCTTGCCCGGCAGTCGCACTTGCGACTACTCGGCCAATGAGGCAGTCGAAAAACATGTGAAAGTTTACTAATATTTATTCAAGATGTTAGAGAATTCGTTTTTATGTATTGACAATAGTTTTAACACAACAAAAAGACATTTTACTGGAATAAAAAAAAACTGTGAATGTTATTCTAAACTCAGATTTGATTCGATTTCTGAACCAGCTGTTTTGGCTAAACCAGACCACAATTTTAAGGATCACACAAAAACATGTTCGGTATGAGAAACGCACTCGCGATAACTTGTACAGCAGGCGATATATAATACAAATAAAAGATGGAAACCGCATGTCTGATAACTACACTTTTACACACTTAAACGACTGCACCAAAAAATATATTATTTGTCATATTCATTATTTTAATTGGGATGATGACAGAGTAAGAAAATTATAAATCTAATTAGTCCGTCAGTTAGGTAATGAAAAAATATTAGACACGTATTTTTTTTTATTTTGTCGTATAATAAAACAATACTTAGATAAAACGAATCAAAGTTTAGGAGTGGGGGCTAAAACGTTATTTCTACGTATAAAATGTACATAGAAGTGACGTCACGCGACATTTCAAATCAATATATCGTCGAAAGTATTCGTAAGAAAATAAAAAATACGTGTCTAATGATTTAAAATAATCTACCAGACGTATATTAAAATAAAAATTAGGCATCTACCCTATTACAAAGTTTGTAAACAAAAAAGTGCTATATACCTCCTATGCTGGAACACTGGCATATTCCTTCTAACCTCTTGCAACTTATCCTGGTTGATCTCAACCACTTTAAACGTCGGGGATTCGGTCCCGCAGTCAGCTAGGACTTCGCCCCATGGGTCTATACAGATTGCATGACCGTAGGACTTTCGTTTTGCATTATGAGCCCCAGTTTGGGCTGCTGCTATAACATAGCATTGATTTTCTATCGCTCTTGCTCTGAAAAAAAATGTATAAAAAAAGTCAAATTAACTGAGAAAAGCTCTACTAGTTTCGAACCACAGAGGGGATCTTCCTCATGACCTCCAACATCGCCTTGCTTGTTTGCTTTTTCAGTATATTCACGTGAGTAACCCGCGATTTTTAGTTAATTTAGTATGTCTCACTATAGTTATTATAAATAAAAATGTCACCATGAATTCTAGTCAAAGTCGATCAGCGCGCGACTGAGAGAGCTATGCTCGGGGTCTCTTTGCGCGACGAAATCCGAAACAATATGGAAATTCGCCAAAGAACTAGAGTTACCGACATAGCTCGCAAAATCTGTAGACTAAAGTGGCAAAGGGCAGGCCACATAGCTCGAAGGACTGACGGCAGATGGGGCCAGGAAAGTCCTTGAGTGGAGACCACGGACCGGAAGACGAAGTGTGGGCAGGCCTGTTGCGCCGACCTGGGCTTCGAACCCAACGCCTGCGTAGCCGCCGTCGAGCGAGCCTAGCGTGCCAGCAGTGTCGCGCGCGGATAGTGCGCACGACTCACGGCAGGGGGCGCGCTGGGCACGCACCGCAGACTTGAGTAGCCAGTAGCAGCTAAGTGTGGGAGAGCCATGCTTCGGCACGAATGGGCCGGCTCGACCGGAGTAATACCACGGCCGAGCAGAAAACCAACGTGAAGCAACGCTTGCGTTGTGTTTCGTCGTGTGAATGAGGTTACCGGGGGCCCAATTACCCTCCCCTTCCCCAATCTCCCGAATTCCTAAATCCCCAACGATCCTCAAACTCCTAATCCCCAAAAGGCCAGTAACGCACTTGTAACGCCTCTGGTGTTCCAGGTGTCCGGGCGACGCTGATTGCTTACCATCAGGTGATCCGTCTGCTCGTTTACCGGTTTATGCCATAAAAAAAAGCAGCAACAGCCGCATAAATACGAGCCTCTAGCATGGCTTGAAACTATCGAGTTCCTGGTCAAACGTGAGTAAGCCGAAAACAATAATTAATCATTTTTTACCTCAATAAAACATGCCAATGTGCCGCCCCAGTGTGCTGAGTAAACGCTGAAGGAAACGTTAATATTTCAGCTTTCATTATACTCAATGACGTACTGAGTTCAGGGAACCTCATGTCGTAACATATACCTAAGCCTGAAAAAGTAAAATTACAATGTAGGGACATATAATTATAAGTATGGCAGAGTACAAGGCAAGCAAAAATGTATCAGAGCGTGAGATATACGAGGACCGGACATAGGCCTTACTACGAGTTTCATTTACGTTTAACCCGTCGAGCGTCCGCGTTCCTTATGATCCAACGGGTGCACACGTGACATTTGGAGAAAGAAAGAAAATGCATATTGAATTTCCACACGAAAACAAGGATCATTACAATAGAAATAAAAAATACAGTCAAAATAAAACAAAACATTAATAATAGATTTTATAAAAGAGAAAGCAGCATGGAGCATTTTCTCTTATGATCCACCGGGTGCTCATAAGGACGCTCGAGGGGTTAAAGTATTCGAAACGAGTACGCGTTCGGCAATCAGAGTGCCAAGCACGAATAACTATCGCATTCGTAACGTAATAGTATCGAGAGCGTTCGACGCTCTGATTGGCCGGCTCAAGTGAACCAACCAATCAGAACGCTTAACTCGCTCGATACTGTTACGATACGAATGCGATAGTTATTCGTGCTTGACCCTCAGAGCGCCGAACGCGTACTCGTTACGATTACTTTAAGCATAAACAAACTTGTACGAAGTCGTCAGTTACTGCCCACTGGTCCGAGTTAACGGTTTTCTTTGGGGTTTACGCGAAATAAATCCGGTATCCGAACGCCGTGTTTCACTCAACCCTTAGACCATCGACCAGAAGAGGTGTAACTCAAAATAAGGATTTAATACAAAACATGACTTTCTAAAACAACTAAAATTACAAAGCTTTTTAGACTGCCGCGTTGACCGAATGGTCGTAAGTGCGACTGCCAGGCAGGGGGGTCTCGGGTTCGATTCCCGGTATTACTGGGTTTTTAAAATAAAACTCAGTAGTAGCACGAAGCCTGCAGTTGTGTTTCGTAGTGTGAATATGGTTACCGGAGGTCCAAATACCCTTTTCCCCCTTTCCCAATCCCTGAATCCCCAACAACTCTCAAATTCCTAATCCTAAAAGGCCAGTAACGCACTTGTAACGCCTCCGGTGTTCAGATGTCCATAGGCGACGTCGATTGCTTACCATCAGATGATCCGTCTGCTCGTTTACCGGTTTAAAATCTCGAACAATAATAATGGAATCATTACAATGATTTCATATGTATAACATTATTAAGTTATCATAATATCAAGCATACATTACCTACTTATTGTTTTAAAATACTTAAAAAGGCTTACACAGCCTGTAAAAGTGTTGTTATTTGAAGACGGAATTGTGACTTAGTATAGTAAGTTTTTCAATTTGTGTACACCAACTTATTTTAAGAATTTTATAAAAACAAAAAAATAAACCGGGCTAAAATAATAAAGTTAACAAACTCACCTAGTTTTCCTATTGGCGTATCGACCGGCGCCACAATATGGTTACCTGGTTCACAGAAATCGCTCTCTTTTAATCTAACATTGCGTTCAGGAATCTCTACATCGAACAAGTGCAGTTTTCTGTATGTCTGCACCACGGTCCCTTTATTATCTATTATTATGTGAGTGTTGCAAACTTTTGAGGGTACCGCTTCATCCTAGAATAAATAAAAATCAACATAAACAGCTTATAAATGGCCACTGCTGACCAAAGGCCTGTTCTCACACGGAGAAGGTTTGAACAATAATCGCCACGCTTGCTCAATGCGGGTTGGCGATTTTGAAGTTAACATTATAATTATAAGCTTAGGTTTCCTCACGATGTTTTCCTTTACCGTTTGTCAGTGGTGTCTAAATAATCTTAGACAGTACATATAACTCGGAAAAAGTCACATAGGTACTTTGGCTGATTGTAGGTTCCGAAGCCAGAGAGTGACCTGAGAGTACCCTCATGCATGAGAAGCGGGCGTCTTAAACCTCCAGGCCACCACAACTCTATATAAATAAAAATCAAGTGTTGCCAATTCATTTAAAACGTGATGTGACCACTGGTTGTGCGAATATCGCTATACTGGAGTCTTTCAAGACAAAATGTCCATAATTTGATTGATTATGAGTCCTGGTCGTAGCTTGAAACTAATCGAGCACCCGGATGAACAGTCACAAAAGTAAACCAAAAAATGTAATTAACGAAGATGTACTTACTATTGATTACTACAAAGTCAATGCCCATAAAAAACAAGCAAACAGGCTGGGAAACCGGCTACCGCGCAACGTGTAGCCAGTTCGATTCCCGCACGGAGCAACTCTTTGTGTGATCCACAAATTATTGTTTTGTATCTGGGTGTCATGTATTTGTGAACTTGTATGTTTGTAAACACACCCACGACACAGAAGAAAATGTAAGTGTGGGGCAAAGTTTAAAAAGGTTAACAATAAATAAATATCACACAAACCTTTTCATGAATCCCACCCATAGACAACCAGACATTATGTTTCACCGCTAGCTCTTTGTATTTTCCAACAGTGGCGCCACCTATGATCGGTTCAGCGAAGTTCAAAGTATCATTCTTGTTATCACAGAGATAATCACAGGCTTCAGGGAAGAATATCATCTGAAAATAGAAAATTACAATGGTAAATAGCTCTCAAACTATTCTCAATAAGGTTGAGAGTGGCTCTTTAGTCAAGCATTTTCATCATTTTAACCTGTTGAAATCCATCCCCTAAATATGAACATACAAAAGTAGTCTCTAAACATTGGAAATAAGGTCTATAATGTAGTTAGTGGAGAGCGGTAATGGGGTCACGCTTAGGGATATATGGGTTAAGGTTTCTGGATGGAAAAATTTCAGTGCTACGATTCCTCTTCTCTTCCTAAATTAAAACTTTATTTCAGAATTTTCATGCTTGTAGAGTTTCAAAAGTATTGTTTGAGAATTCGTCAAGGTTCTTGTTGATTACCGGGATGGCTGAATAACATAACATCACGCTGTTTTATCACAGAAGGAGTAGGCAAAGGTGCACATAACGGTACTTGATGCCACTGACAATGACCCACTTTTACTATTTGTGTTATGAGTCCTATTTAATAGGGGGTAAGCCTATTGCCATAAACGGGGCACAATTCCGGACTCTGTGCTACTACTGAGAATTAAAATAAAAACAGTAATACTTTACTCGACCCAGGAATCACTATTATTGGAATAGTGTGGGGCAGATTTGTTAAAAACAAAACAAAAATAAACAAACTAAAATTGCCTGCAATATGGCAATAGGCTACCAATCTATTACATAGGATGCATGCCATAACTGGTGAAATTTAGTGCTACATGCACGTCTATCTACGACAGCCGAGATTAGATCTAACTTTGGCATTAGTATTTTCATATCACAAAATACCTGAACATCTTCCTTCACCGCTTGACTGATCAAATTGCTGACAATTTCCATATTAGCTGCCTTATCCCCTACGGAGGTCATCTGACAGACGGCAATCTTCTTCGTACTCATGTTTCTAATAAGTTGTCGAACTAAATTATAATGCGCTACTGTTTTTATGAGGCTGTACTGCCAAATCTGTGAACATTTATTTAAACTGTCAAACACCAAGCGGTCACTGGTGACCGCAACCTATTGTTCTTTAATTGTGTCTATAAATACAGTACTTGATGAGTTAATACTATTATTTTTTGGTTATTTTTTTTTACTGGCTGGGTGACATGTAAGTGAAAGCCATATATTTGCATGAATTGAATTTAACACATTGGATGCCGTGTCGGACAATGATATCCGACGCTAATGGAGGAATAGCCTTTAACCCATTGAATTTTTTTTTAAATCTTCCCCTAAATTTGTTCATACAAAAGTAGTCTCTAAGCATTGGAAATAAGGTCTATAATGTAGTTAGTGGAGAGCGGTCACCGATGATTGCTTGGGTTAACAGTTTTAATAGACAGTTAAAGGCTTAATGAATAGAGTCTGATATGGGTTGTAGGTAAAGTCACCATTAGATACTGTATCCCAGCTCAGACCAGGAGTTGTAACTGGGTGGTGTTTAGTCAGTAAGAGTCTGACACTCCCTCCCGCCTCATCCAAAGCAGAAGGGGCATTTAATGATTCCATACTCAAAAATAAAAGGAATTCTAGTACAATGGCTGGGATTCTATATTAGGCTTATGAGCCTCTATTAAGACCTACTCTTTATTCACCTACTAAATAATTATTTGAGTGCTCATTACAATTCACATATTTATTTGTGACTAAGTAAATGAAAGTTAACTTTAATAAAGAAATTAAAGAGTGCAAATGAATGTTCTCAAAACATTAATAATACCTCAACCTTGAAGAATAACAAATTGATAAGATTGTGGAAGAAAGTGAATGACTAATGATAAGAAAAACAAATAAAAATTAATGAAATTAGACATACAAAAATAAAATAATTTCCAACTACTTAACCTCTATGGTAAGTTATAAAAATTAATGTTCATAACTTACCCGCATCATACGAATTAAAATAATGGTATTGAAAAGAGTATTGGAGTTGGAAATTTAATTAATTTCACTCCATAAAATTTCTTACCGACGACAAAATCGGTGTTTTGACGTGTAGAAATTTCAAATTTTGACATTAACTCTGATAGACCTTCACGATACGTTTCATTTCACAAAAAAAAGTGTCATCAATATTAATGTTGTCCTTTGAAATCATGAGATTAGAATGCCTGTTTCATGACAAAATAAGTTGTTTTAGAAAATCACTTTATATCGAATTATTAGCAATCAATTTAAAACGTGAAAATACTTTAAAAACTATTATTGATCAATAAATATATCCGTTTAAAAACGTACTACACGGACGTGTAATGGAGTAGACAACGTTCAAAAACCTATGTATGATTATCGAAATCGATATAAAAGAAATTAATCTTGGGATAAAAACTTATCCAATTAAGTATACATGTCATTAAATATTGTAATGTAATAAAAATGGAATATTTTTGATTAGATTTCAATATTTTTAACACATTTATTTAAAATGTTAGCTACAATTCAGTACGTCTAACGCCTAATTTCAAAAATGTCCTTTATTCAGAACGCACCACCAGTCTAGAAAAATCTGCTGAATAGTGTCGGTGTAAAAATAAATATTTTTTGAAGATTTCTGGAAAATCTACATTTCCGGAGGGTGAGAGAAGAAAATATGACTGAAACGAAAGAAAATACGGCTGTTGAGGTATGATTTCATGTACTATTTACATTTCATTTTCTTATTGGAATCCTATTCACTTTCTTTTCGAAATCATAAATAATTTCGTCTTTATCGACAGCTGGCTTTTGTTTGATTAGACGCAAAGGTTTAGGTTTATTTTTAGCACAATTGTATACTCTTTCAACTTTTTTTAATTCATAAACCCCTTAACACTGATTAGGTGTGTTACCTCCCTATTTACATGTTGCCATCAAAACAAGATATCGTAAAAAATATATAAAAAATAAAGGTTTATAAACCTACTTTCTGCCAACGGCTTCGCCCGCGTTCCCTAGTACTAAAAAGTAGTCATCACAATCCCTTCAGCCGTTTGGACACGATTGAGTAAGTAACGAACATACATCCAAATTCACAAAGTTTTGCATTTATAATATTAATCAAATAAACCTTAATAAATATAAAATAAATACATGATCACATCACACACACATTAACAGCATATAATGCCCACTACTGAGCAAAGCCTCTTCTCACATAGAGAAGGTTTGAGCATATTCACCACACTTGCTTAATGCGCATTGTCAATTTAAAATTTATAATTTGAAATTAGAAGCCTGGGTTTCCTCATTATGTTTTCTCTCACCGTATGTCAGTGGTGTTTAAATAATCTTAGAAAGTACATATAACTCGGAAAAGTCATATTGTTACTTGCCCTTGGTAGGTTTCAAATCTGCAACCTGCAACATAATATCACGCCTTTTATCCCCGAAAGCGTAGGCAGAGGTGCACATTATGCCACTGTACAATGTAACACCCATTTTTCACTATTTCTGTTACAAGTCCCATGTAATAGGGGGTTAGCCTATTGCCATATACCGGGCACAAAAACCCGGTAGTACTTAAATTTTCTTTATGTTATCAACATGACTAGCTTCTATGTATCAGTTGTACTGGCACAATGCCAATAAAATAGTTATCCGGCTGACTTTGTTTTTCTGTTAATAATGATTGTGTTTTCTTTTAGTGTTTAATGTTAATGTATTAAACAATAAAAAAACAACAAATATATTATTTAATCTATGTGTTTACCCGGTTATGCTTTTTTATTTCTTTATTTATTTTGTTACAATAATATGTTTGTTTAAGTAATTAATTTAAATTGCTGATGTCTAATTGGTGGCTTGTTCGTTCGCAAATAACTTAAATGGCCAGTAAAATACCAACGCAAGGCCCTGTCATGCACATGCTGAACTGGTCCCATTTTACGGCAGACTCGAGACATGAACATGTATCCATCAGTACCTACTAATAGAATAACACATGTGTACATGTCAATTGTTTTTTAGTGTGAGAAATGAAGTTTTTTTTTTCTAAGTTATGTTCCCATAAAGAAGAAGATACCATAAGTAGGTTCTCTTCTAAGTTTTAACCTCATGTTCCAAAACAACCTGTATTTAATTTGTTTTGATGTTCAAAAGTGCCTTCCTGGTCTAATTGAAATAAATGATTTTGACATTTTTGACTTTTACATGTTATTTTTACCAAAACCTAAAAGTACAAGAGACATTATTTAATTTGCCGACAACATAACCAGTTACTGGGACGGTGGGTCAAAGCAGGAGTAGGAATGGGGTGGTGTTTAGTCAGTAAAAGTCTGACACTCTCTCTTAGCCAGGGTAGGAGAAGTCGTAGAATGATTTTCCCTACTCAAAAAAAGAATTTGAGTTCAGTATCATCTTTTTATCACTCTTTAGATACAATTTGATCACTCTTTAGATTTGACAAAATATGTTTTGTCAAATTCAAAGTTAAAATCATTTATTTCAATTAGACCAGGAAAGCACTTTGAACGTCAACCAATTGAATATTAAAAATGTCAGTCTGTCAGTCTTCTATTGAAGATATTAGCTTGTTCAAAGTGTAGATTGCTATGGAGTAGAACAAGCAAGAAACGCTATCCATACTCCGTACTCTATTTCAATCTGGTTCACAATACAATTCTTGGTTACATTTTAATTTAACTAGGTATTAGATTTAACGCGAAAAATAGAAAAAGTATATTAAAAAAGAAAGCTATAATTAATTATACCTATTAACAAAATAATATCTTACAATGAATACTTGTGTGGTCTGAATTTATTGTAATGCATTTACATAATTTCAAAATCTCACACACGCAGTCTCTTTTCAACCGACTTAAATAGAAAGGAGGAGGTTCTCAATTCGACTGTATGTTTTTTTTTTACTGTAATGTCTGAACTTTTATCACTAACTTTCTAACTTTAATTCTCACTCAAAGATCTCATTGGATCGCTCGGTTCCCTACAAAATGGTTGAGTTGGCCGGTGCTGGGGTACGTGTCAATTTTTATTTTAATGTCCGTCTGGAAGTGGAAGATTATTTTAAATCATTAGACACGTATTTTTTATTTTCTTATAGAGGAAGATCCCAGAGCCGCCAGACGTCACTCATTTTCTGATGGACAAAATATATAGTAGTGGTCCCCACCACTACTAATTAGATTTTTAATTTTCATAGGTATCATCCCAATTGGGTGGTACTGGTCTGTATGATTTGACTGTCCTCAAGGTTATTTTCTTTTTCAATCTCTTTGACTACATTTAGGTGTTGCATTGTTCTCACACAATCGAACCAACAAAACTATGTAACTAGAGAATTGTATTGTAAACCCGATTGAAAAAGAGTAACCTATGGAGTTTCTTGCTCGTTCTTCTCCATGAAACATGCAACTAGCTTCACTTCTCAATTTTTGTTGTTGACGTTCAAAAGTGCCTTCCTGGTCTAGTGGAAATAAACAATTTTGACTTTGACTTTAATGAGTGATAATCTATCTTTATTCAAAATCACTGAACTATTTATTATAAGTTTACTTTTTCCGTTGTCCTCAGCCGTCGCGGCCAAAAATAAAACATGATTGGTACCAAACAGAGTCACAGGTGGTCATCACCATATTAGTGAAGAATGCGCCAAAAGATAAAGTCAAGGTCGACTATGGAGAGAGGAGCGTAAGTAGAGCTTCCCTATCCTTATAGGGGTTGGCAAAGGTGTCAATATTTAAGGTGAATTATTAACAGTTATGTTCGGAGTATCATGTAAAATGTAAAGGTGTATACTATGCGTATTTAATAACTACTCATGCTGAATATACTGAGAAAACCTCAACTAATTTTGAGTCTTGCTCGTGAGCAGCGGTGCGCGGTCGCGGCGATGTCGCGCAGCCTACTCATAAGGAAGCGTCCCTCTATGACTCGAAACTAGTTGAGCTTTTCTCAGTATATTTACGTGAGTAACTCGTAGTTTTATAGTAATAGTTGGTTCGTTTTAATAACTACTCAGTTGGGACTGTGGCTGGGCAATCAGCTGTTGCAAAAAATGTCGCCTGTTCGAATCCCACACAGAACTATTTTTATTTGTTCCCCAAATTCTTGTTCCTGATCTGGGTGTGATGCGTATTTGAATATGTATGCCTGCAAACGTAGCCACGACACAGGAAAAGCTTTTTAAAATATTTATTTATTTATTTTTTTATTTATTTATTAACGCTTCATGCACAAAGTGTACACAAGGTGGACTTAATGCCGCAGGCATTTTCTCCCAGTCAAATATTGGTCTACACTAGGACATATGACTTGGAACAACCAGAGTTGCTCCGTGCGGGAATCAAACTCGCTATATCGCATTGCGCGTTAGCTGGGTACCCAGCCACCACACCAACTGTACAGTTAAAATGATATCGATAGCTTGATTTATTAGGGACTTACCTCTCTAGAGACATATAATATAAATCAATATTTTTTCCCTTCAGCTCTCATTATCAAGTGCGATCCCAGATACAGACTCGGAATACAGTCTAGAATTAGACCTAGCGCATGAAGTAGTACCTAACTTATGTACTCACGTGGTGACTCCTTCCAAAATAGAGGTGAAACTCCGGAAAAAGGAGGGGTTGCGGTGGACACAGCTGGATGGAGACCGAGCTGATGATCATGTTAAGGCTATTCCTCAAGGTAGGATATTAATTAAAATTAATCAGGTTTTATGGCTTATTCACGTAAGTAGGTATTCGAACTCGACTAATTTCGGTGACCAATGCGATGAGTGTTGCGGAAGTTAGTCGTGGTTATGAGCCCCCAACGTAGCTCGAAACTAGTTGAGTAACACACGCCGTACGCCTAATTTCACGATAATTAGTTATAATTTCTAATCTAATAAAAAAAAATTGTGGCTTACTGAAGATATTATAATAAAACTTCATTATTTATTCATTTTAGAGCTAGCTAGCATTTTGAAAGTAGTCAAATAACGCCATACTACTGAGATTTTCGAAATCGAAATACTTAATACCTAATGCTAACCAAAACCTAAGGGTGCGTCCACAGGCGGGCTCCTAGCAGGCAGGGCGCGTGAGGGAATGAACCTTTCGCCCCAGCCGCCGCGAGAGGCACTGGGCGTCTGGGTTCGCGAGACGATCTGACGTGAGAATGGGTAGCTAGCTGCCCCTCAGACCACCACAGATGGGGCTCAATAGGGCTGATGCCGATACGGAGCCGCGGAAGACTTAACGGGTTGCCGGGGCTCCAGCTCGAAATGCAGGAGTAGGAACGGGGTGGTTTTTAGTCAGTAAGAGTCTGACGGTCTCTCGCCTCACCCGGTCGGAAGAAGGAGGAGGATTATTTTCCTCCCCTTAAAAAAAAAAGGATGCGTCCACATCTGGCGAATGATGCCCGCAAGCTGCGCGCGTGCAGGCACGGCAATGGTTTGGTGCTCAACTCGTATAATGGTCGTATAAATAATGATTTTAAATGCACCCGTACAATTCACAAGCGGCTCGCGAGCTGCACATTCTAATACTCTCGAGTATTAGGGTGCATCCACAGCTGACGTCACGCTCCTCGTGTTTACTGAACCATCTATTAATGTTATGTTATTGTTTTAGCTGTAATAGACGCTTCAGGGCCGGTACAACAACCGCCGAAGCTGTTCAAAAAAGACTGGGACAAAATTGAAAAGGATATAAAGAAAATGGTGAGTTATGTAATTATTTCAAAATAACGAGACCTGTTTCCCGAAAATGTAGGTAAAGTATCTCGAAAAATTTAAACTGCCTCCGCTCCGTTCTTCGAGTAGTCGACAGAGCGACTACCTACGGGAATCTGGAATCGATTTCAGGTCGATTCTATCATAAACAAGGTCTTAATCTTTTAAAAGAAAAGAAAATCGTAAAAACCAATAGGGAAAGGTTTGGTAACCTTCATTCCCACCGACATGCCGCCAAAATAACGAATTTACCCTCAAAAACAGCTCTGCTTTCTAAAAGTTTCTACGGAATGTCTTCAAGAATTTATAATAAACTTCCTAGACAAATGAGGGAAATTGACAGGGTAGACTATTTAAAAAAAAAATGCTTGACTTCCTGGTAAATAGACCATATTATACACTGCATGAATTTTTGTCTGACAGATTCGTTAACAGTTGAAACGCCATTTTATGTTTTGATGCAAAATGAAATTAATACAGGTTTCTTTATTCAATCCGTATTTAATATTATAATGTATAGCTACTGCAATTTATATATTTTGTCACAAACTATTGTATGCCTAACATGGTGGAGCAGTGCCAGAACACAACAACCTTTAGACCAACCTTTGTAACCACTGTCTCACAATAAAGATCTTTGACTTTGACTTTGAAAACCTCAAAATACAATACGGTAGTTGACAGGTAGTCAAATTGAATACTTTTATTGAAATGTCAAAAACTATACTTTTCTATGAATTTTGTATTGGATCGCAACTTGTCATAAGGTGTCATCATATTTCTGCGTCAAACAGCATACTTATTTCCTTAAAATTAGCGAGAAAAATCCAAAAGTAGGTAAATTGTCCAATCAATGGATGAGAGTATGATTATTATTTAATTATTTATTGCATTGAAAAGTTGAAACAATTTATTTTAAACCTAGGAAACTAGCCAAGTATTGTCCATCAGTTTAGCTAAGTATTCGTTCGAAAATGTATATTTATGGAAAAGAATTAGCTAAAAAATCCATCGTTAAACACTACTGCATAACAAGAGGTGTCCCAAATCCAATAATACTTTTCCCGACCCGGGAATTACACTCAAGACGGGCGTCTTGAGTGTATTTCCTCCGAGTGTAATTAATTACTCCGACTTCTAAAATAAGTTGCATTTGGTTCTTCTTATAGGAAGAAGAAGAGAAGCCAGAAGGCGACGCGGCGTTGAACGCTCTGTTCCAGAAGATATACGGAGAGGGATCCGATGAGGTGCGGCGTGCTATGAACAAAAGTTTTGTAAGTATTTCAAACGTAATTATCAAATCTAATGACACGCCTTCCCTCCCCCCTTTTCCTCGGCAAGAATGGGCCGGCTCGACCGGAGTGATACCACGGCCTCACAAAAAACCGACGTGAAACAACGCTTGCGTTGTGTTTCGTCGTGTGAGTGAGGTTACCGGAGGCCCAATTACCCCCTTCGCCAGTCTCCCCAATCCCCGAAACCCCTATAATCCTCATATTCCTAATTCCTAAAAGACCGGTAACGCGCTTGTAACGCCTCTGGTTTTTCGGGTGTCCATGGGCGACGCCGATTGCTTACCATTTTAGGTGAGCCGTCTGCCCGTTTACCGGCTTATATCATAGAAAAAAAAGATGGAGCTAATGCTAATTTCCTAACCATTCAATTTCTGACAGGTACAGTAATCACGCAAACATTTGTGAAAGAAATTTTTACAAAACTAGTAGAACGAAAGTATTATTGTAATTACTCTTATGTTACTGAGCATAGGGTAGTTGCCAGGGTACGAAAATTTAAATTCTAATTAGTCCGTCAGTTAGATAATGAAAAAATATTAGACACGTATTTTTGATTTTCTCGCATAAAGTTACAATACTTAGATAAAATGGCGCTACGTTTAAGAGTGGTCGTTACGTCACAAAGTGCTACAAAATGTAGCACGCTGTGACGTCACACGATAAGTATTTAATTTTTTGAGTAAAAGAAAAATACTTGTCTAATGTTTTAAATTAATCTACATTTAGGAATGGGTATATTCCTAAATTTTAAATAATTAAAAAAACATAAAACTCTATAATATTTATTCAATATGGCATTTTTTTATGGTCCGAACATCAATGGCATTAAGTTCGCCTTATGTACCATTATTTGGTTGTATTGTGTACCACTTCACCCACCCTGAAAATCTTGTATAAAATTAACATCATCATCATCACGCCTTTTATCCCCGAAGGGGTTACATTACGGCATTTAATGCCACTGTACAATGTAACACTCAGTTTTCACTATTTATGTTATAAGTCCCATGTAATAGGGGGTGATCCTATTGCCATATACCGGGCACAATTCCAGACTCCGTGCTACTACTGAGATTTTTTGACAAAGCCCAGTAATACTTTGCCCGATCCAAGATCCCTTGCCCGGCAGGCGCAATCGCGACCACTCGGCCAACGATGCAGTATAAAACTAACCTATGTTATGAATAAAATTTTATTTATTTCCAGGTGGAATCCGGAGGCACAGTGCTCAGTACAAACTGGAACCAAGTCGGACGAGATAAAGTCGAAATGAAGCCACCAGATGGTGTTGAATTCAAAAAATGGGAGTAGGCGTTAGGTGCACTTTTACAAATTACATAATAATTGTAATAGATGAATGTATGATTGTATGGATGCTTGGATGTCAGTGGTAATAGAAGGTCAAGAGATTTTTAAGAGAGGGGGAATCATCCAATTACTTCTGCTGACTTGGGTGAAGCGAGAGGGAGTGTCAGACTCTAACTGACTAAAAACCACCCCGTTCCTACTCGTGCTCTCGAAGCCGGAGCCCCGGCAACCCGTTAAGTCCTCCGCGGCTCCGTCAAATCAGCCCAATTGGGCCCCATCTGTGGTGGTCTGATGGCTCTATGAGGCGCGGAATGCGATTCACTATACGCTCAGCTCTGGTTCTGATCAGATCGCGAGCTCTTAGAATTATTACCACTGACAACAAGATTTCTGTACATACCACAGTCTATGAAGGCGTGATGATACGAAGAAGAGGTGTAGAGAAAGAAAGACTATGGATTTAAGAAATCAAAGACTAATTGGCTAAATAAAATAATAATTTTGTAATAACTTTTGAGATTAACAACACGAAAATATGATTTTTATTTTTAGTCAAAAACTTCATTAAAATATTAATGAAAATACATGGCTTATTCATGTACTCGACCGCTTTCGTTTGCTCATAATTATGAGTCCCGGTCGAGGCTAGAAACTAGTCGGGCATCCTCAAAAAGTTACATGAGTAAGCTGTATATTTTTTCAGGACTGAATGAAAGGTTAGACTGTGGTATCAAAAATGGTAGATTTTGTATTACTTAATTAAACTATGATTCTCTTTGTATCAAATAAAAGGGGTAGGCAGACTTACTAGTGTCGTGAAATAATCAGGAGCTGTGTGAGAGCTATGTTTCGGTACGAAGAAGCCGACTCGACCGGAGTGATACCACGGCCTCACAGAAAACGGGCGTGAACCACACGAGCGTCGTTTCGCAGTGTGTGTGATGTGTCTGGAGGCTGGCTCTATTCCCCCCCCCCCCCCCCATCCACATTATCCAAAAGCCTAATACCCAAACCGCTAATTCCCTACACTACTAAACCCCAAACCCCTTAACTAAATCCCCAAACTGTTACGGGCGGGGTCATAAGAAAATCGCTTCATTGCGACGTGAAATAAAATCAAACATACTTACGCATTTATTATGTATATTAAAACATGCTATTCTGTCTACCCCTTGCGAAATAGTAGGTCTTATGTCTAATGCATAATGTATTATTAATAATTATAATGTATGTACTATCGACAAAGTTTACGGTAGTACAGTTTTTAAACAAAACCCTGTGGGTGATCGCTATTCATCGGGCATTTTCCCTGTGGGCGCTCGCGCCAAATGCAAGCGAATATCGCCTAATGATGGTTGCCGCAAACTTTGTCGATTGTACCGTAGTATCATCTCTGTCTACCCCACAAAACCATGTAATAGCGTGATTGTAGGATGTGTGTAGAATGAAAATATTGCTACATTTAAATTAATATTACGGAATAAATGTTTTTTAATTGAAATCGTAGTTTTATTGTCGTCCTTTTCTCTTAATATTTACTTATTGATCCTTGGAGCGTTGCGGGAAAACTCGCTAAAATTTGATTAGAAGTGTTTTTTTTAATGGGACAAGCCCGCCACAACCTCCCAAAACCGCTGCAACTCCTGTAAGCTAGAATCTGCAGTAGATACAACCATTAAAACACCGGAAAACTGAAGTCCGGCGCGTCCCAGGGACATGAATAACTGTCTTGGTTCCTGCAACGAAGTTAATCAGAAGATATTATTAATCTTCTGATTCACTTCGTTAAACGTTAGTTTCCACTTCCTTAGGTGAATTACTGCAGTAGACAGAGTGAATTAAGCCTAAAGGCACAAAGAAAGAGACTACAACTGGGTGAAGCCCAGTCGCCAAGCACCACCACTAAAATGTAAGTGTGTCCTACCGGGGGTTTAGGTGTGCTATCAAAATAAATCTGTTTATTCAGTACCGTCTTTACCGTCCTTCCTTCGGGGTCTGGGCCCAGGCCCGCATTCTCAGGGGCCCCGAAAGACCGACAATTTCTACAACGGACATACAGGTGGTTGCCGCGCAACGTGTGCCATTCCATCGTGCAGCAACTCTTTGTGTGATTCCCAAATTGTTATTCCGGGTTTGGGTGTCATGTGTATGTGAACTTGTATGTTTGTAAATGCACCTATGATACAGGAGAAAATCAAAGTGTGGTGCAACGTTAAAAAATAAATATTCCAAAAGGGCTCCTAATTATTGTGCCAAAAGACCCGTAATTATTGTGCCAAAAGACCTCTAATTATTGTGCCAAAAGACCCCTAATTATTGTGCCAAAAAACCCCTAATTATTGTGCCAGAAGATCCCTAATTATTGTGACAAAGGACCCCTAATTATTGTGACAAAAACCCTAATTATTGTGACAAAAGACCCTTAATTATTGTAACAAAAGACCCCTAATTGTTGTGCCAAAGAACCCCTAATTATTGTGCCAAAGACCAACTAATTATTGTGCCAAAGAGGCCCTAATTATTGTGCCAAAGTGCCCCTAATTATTGCGCCAAAGAGCTCCCAATTTTTGTGCCAAAGGGCCCCAGGGAAAGCCCTAAGAAACCCTATGCTTATTGCTGCTGGATAATTCGTACACACTCGCGTCCATATAGGAATTGTGTCAACATCTACAATTCGCGATATTCCACTACTGGCTTGCTTTACTTCAGGGTTTTTCATAATTATAATATCCACTTTTGGCACTCGGCAGACAGGTTGAAGATTACCGTTCGAAAGGTATAGATTTATCAGAGCGCACTGATAGTGATATGTATCGTGATTATTTCGTTGTAAAATGATTCTGTCTCGGTAATACAATGGTTTTACAAAGAAATAAAACACAAAATAAGTGGTGAACCATTGCAAAAAGTAAACTTCGAGAGCGCATACGAACTCGTAGTACATAATCGAAACAAAACGCCATGTAATTCTCGAAGAGGTAATTCTCGTCAGGCGGTCCGTGTGATGCGAAGATGTATCAATATTTACGTCTATAGTCTCATGTGAAAGTCAAATAATATTTTTTATAAACTACAGAAACTACGTCTTCATTTCATTTGTTTTTACTTTAAGTATACATCAAAAATACTCCTTATAGCTAGTTGTTTTGCTGCGTGATGAAAACGAAATTATTTTTACGGTGTATGATAGAGATCGGGTACGGTACTCATCGTCTCGAGAAAAGTATCTAGAGTAGTGACGAATGCATTCGACTCCGCTGTCACCACACTATAATTAGGTAACACATATAACATCACGCCTTTTATCCCCGAAGGGGTAGGCAGAGGTGCACATTATGCCACTGTACAATGTAACACCCACTTTTCACTATTTATGTTATGAGCCCCATGTAATAAGGGGTGAACCTATTGCCATATACCGGGCACAATTCCAGGCTCCGTGCTACGACTGAGAATTTTTTAAAACCCAGTAGTACTTTGCTCGACCCGGGAATCGAACCCGAGACCCCTTGCCCGGCAGTCGCACTTGCGACCACTCGGCCAATGAGGCAGTCAACTGTAATTAGGTAACTGCATAAAAATAAATTAGGTTGTAAAATAATAATAATAATAATAATAAATCTTTATTAGGCATTCCAATGTTTACAGTAAAAATTTACAATGACAGCCGCACTAGGCAAAGCCTGTATCGCGGCTATCAACAATACGATTTGCTTAGGACTAATGCGATCAAAATACTAATACAAAAAAAAAATTAAGTAAAATATAACAAAAGGACAATTAATGTGTGAAGAGTATGTATGTGAGTGTGTGAGTGTGTGAGTGCGTGAGTGTGTGAGTGTGTGAGTGTGTGAGTGAGTGAGTGAGTGAGTGAGTGAGTGAGGGTGAGTGAGTGAGGGTGTGTGTGTTATGCGCAAGAGTATTTTCAGCATCTTACTGTGTGGGTTTTAATAGCTGTTCTACTTCGTTGTATGTTAAATTATTTAAATACTTTGTAACTTTTGTTTGCATTACGTGCACCGTGTCTTCTTTAGATTTACAATTTTTACAGATTTTGTTGTATAAATAAGGAAATAAAAAATTAGAAAATCTTTGTGCAAAAGAAGTATTGACTGTGGGTACCGGGATTCTAAATATTCGATTAGTCAGCAGTTGATTGTACAATTCAGATTTCAATATTTGTTTATGGGTACGACAGACTGCAGCTTCTTTAGTTTCGTTACCACAGAACGACACAACTCTAGCAAAAATCCTCTAAATTCCCGACCTTTTTGTTTTGGTGGGAAATTATAAAATACTAGCTTCTGCCCGCGACTTCGTACGCGTAATCCCATGTTTTCCCGTCCCCGTTCGTGATTTTCGGTAAAAAGTAAAAAAAAAGTATTGGTTAAAAAGTATCCTGTGTCGGTCTCCTGGCTCTAAGCTACCTCCCTACCAATTTTCAGCCAAATCTATTCTGCCGTTCTTAAGTTATAAGTGGTGTAACTAACACGACTATCTTTTATATATATAGATCATTTGACTTGGGAAAGTCATTACTTCGATAAAAATTAAAACAAATGACAACTATCTATAAGGTTTAAATTCACAAAGAGGATTCTGTTAGTATTGTTCTACATCGTTTTCTTTCTATGACAATCTACAACATAGATTTAGCGTAGAGATTAGAAATATGGCGCGAAAGCCCGATCGACCGACTGATCAAGCTCGCCAAATAAAGAATATACAATAATAAAATGTTTATTTGGTGTAAAAAGCCAGATTACAAAATAAATCTAAATCTAAAAATAAATCTAAAAAAAGTCTAAAATTTATATGTAAAACCTGAAGTAGGCTCAAGCCTGTGTTTCAGGTTAAAAATGTGCTGTAAAATTTAAAACACAATAACATTGCTTATTGTTGAGTTGGTACCTAAGTATAACAGGTGCGCGTGTACAGTTTTATAAACAAACGTAAGCAAAAATAACTAAGTCAACTATAACAAAATTATTTGCATAAAAATG